GATTAATTAGTCTGAGATAGAAATCTGTTACTCTCTCCTAGGAAACAAATTCGCCTCTTTGTTTAGAAACCGAAAGTTTATTATCGTGTTCACAACACACCGCCAGTGGACCCTTTTGTTAGCTGGGTAAATCCAATCCATATATCTTAATATTATCCTCACACTGAGGTTGTAGAACTCAGGTGTCTGTTTATCTGCGGCGTATGAGAAATTAACGGACACGAGTGGAAGAATCGGTGATTCTGTTTGTTAATGTTGTATTTGCAGTCCTCTCGGCTGTAACTACGAACAGTGCCGTACTTTCGTATGTGTTGACATGTAAATATTGTAGAAGAATACCGACGTTTCGAAGGAACGTATTGCTTCAATTTTCAGGGTCGATTAGTAAACCACTCAAGCATCAAGCGATTTTTCTGGTTGATGCTTCTTTCTTTACACGACTTACTCTTTCACCTTAGTCACTGGCTTCCCACCCCGGCGGCCCGGGTTCGATCCCGGGGCCTGGTCAAGTGGGATTTGTGGTGGACAAAGTGGTGTTGGGGCAGGTTTTCTCCGAGGACTTCGTTTTCCCTTGCCAATCTTCATTCCACCAATTGCTCCACAATCACCTTCACCTATCATCTGGGGCTGGTACAATAGGCCAGAAGTGGCCGCAGTACAAGGGACTTAGTCCCACCCCAATAGCAATAAAAAAATAATACTCTTTCACCTTAAAGAAAGAGGCTGTACTTTCTTCTGAAATGTAGGGAAACTTCAACAAGATTATATTCCAGAAAAAGTATTCTTCTTATGACCTCGATATCGGAGTTTAAGTGTTTCTAATCATAATCCCCTGATATGTTTCGTACTTTCCCTGAAGCTCTTCTGAAATGCTGGTTACGATCTGTTGTACTACACAATGTCGCTTTCCAGAAGACATTAATATTTTTCCTTTAAATATTCCAACCGAGATGCTGGCTGAATTTCTCATTCTCCCATGCGTGCTGTATGCCGAATCCATCTCATTCTGCTTCAGGCGGTCACGTATAGAGATCACAAACTTAAAATAACAACTCTTGCACAGGTCATATATATCTTCATTAAGGAAGGGTGGGAGGGGGGGTGCACTGTTTCGGTGCTGTTTGTTTCGCCGTTGCTCTGATTTGGGACCAAGCGTTGGTGCTGAGTCGCCAGATGGGCGTCAAGAGCCAACACGGGTATCCCCCGCACACATTAGGGTCCCGGTGACTGACAGCAAATGATGCCTGATAATTCTAACCTATTTTCAGTAGCTTGTTCCAAGATTACTTTCGGGTCTGTTTTATCTGGACAAGGAGTCTCGAACAGAACTTTCCTGCTACATAGGTTTCACAGATGTGTTAGTGTTATTGTTGTTAATTAGTATGTTTCTGGGGGGACAACATACTACTAAGTACCGATTCTGTGTTAAGTTTTTCAGATATAAGCTCAAAGTTTTCCCATCTCCGCCATGTTGTAGTTATTGATGTACAAACAACATTTTATGTCTAGGTATGTTGATCATCTATCTTCATACCAAATTTCGTAAGCCTAGCTCAGTGGACCACGAGACGTTGCCATCAAACCTAAAGGCAAAGAAATGTTTGCACCACCGCCATGTTGTTTTATTCGTACGTTTCACCAAAAAGAAAAAAAAAAGAACGGGGAAGGAAGAATCCTTAACAAAAGCTACATGTTTTTCCAGCACCTCTACGTTTCCTGTATTCTACGTTAAGTGGCGCTATTTTCGCTCTCATCTCACAAGATCGCGCGTCCGCCATTTTGTGGGAAATTGTAAAGTTGCTACGATGCTGGGGGATGGCTGACAATTGCGTAACGTCCATACCTAGTTTCGTGAGAATCGGCCCATTGCTTCAGAAGTTCAAATGGGGGAAACGTAGACAGGATGATGAGCTCATAACCCTACTTTCCTACTTTCCTACCTCACAGAAAATATTCCGTGTCCATTACAAAGAGTACTTTGTTAATACTGTATTAGGGAAGTAACCGCTGCTTATACCAGAATCGTATGAAACACATGAACACATTGAAGAATAGGCCTACTATCTTCTTCGATATGATGCCGTGTAGTCCGGTACAAGTGTTATTCTCTTTCAGAAGAATTTACTGCTTCCGTCTTAAGGGTCGGAGAATAAATCAAACAAATTGCTTGCTTGGTTTATTCTTCAGTTCTGAAATTCCAAGCAGTGAATTCCTTCGAAAAGTCAATGACGTCTACCAGGCTACACGGTATCACATCCCAATAGATATCAATCTTGTCAGCTCGGCAGCGCATGTTGCATAGTTCCAGGATCCCCCGCGCAAGCTACGGGACATCTTAAGAGCTGAAAACAGGTGAAGCCGTAGGCAACTGGACTTATCCCTGTCAGGGAAAGTGACTGCTGCGCATTCCGTAGAGTCAGTCGGTAATAGCAACGCGCTGTTTGGCGAGATGAAGTCGCGCTATCGCTGCACGAGCTGGGCTGCTGACTGCGGCACAAGAACTGCGCGCACCTTATAAGGGCTGCCCCCGGAAACGAGAGAAGCGGAGCGCCGGGTTGTAGGCTAAAATTATTCGTGTGGGGCTGCAGTGCCAAAGAAAAATCCTTAGCGGATGTATTCTCATTTTCAACAACATTTCTCACTTCTAGTGGATGTCAGTGTTTTTAGACGAATGGCAATATTCAGGAAAATAATATGGACTACTTATAACATTATAAAATTGGGAGTAACTATAAGAAACGGTTCTGAAGACATTGTCCTCTGGCATGTGACGCTGTGTGTCCCGATGCAAAGTTGCCAGCGTTTCAGAATAACGTGCTGCCTTTATATTCAGGGCAGATGACCATAAAAATGGATGCAGCAAGTTCATGTAGCCAATGGCAACAATCTTTAACATTATACGGCTTCATATCCCAAAAGACTGCCAGCATAGACCTATTCTGATGATGGAGGCAGCGTGTTCTTCTGAAACGTTGGTTCATATCTACCAGAATACACAGCGTCATATCCCGAAAGATAGTAATACTCACGGACACCATCGTGGAAACCTCAGATCTGAATGTATTGACTGACCAAGTGAGCCAGAATTCTACAGAATGATTTGAATACACCGTCCAATGTGACTCAAAAGTACACGTGCCTTTACATGTTTGGTCAATTAATCACCAACTTCAGAAGGTAAACAGCAACACTTGAGGAAACTACTATTACATAAATCATAGTACATCAAGTTCAAATTTGTCCAAAGTTTATATTTAAAATCTTAAACCACTAAGTTTGGTGCCTTCGTGCCGCTTCTCTCAGCGTGGGTATATTACCGCCCTTGGAGGTCCGGGCAGTGTTTTTTATTCCTTATATAGTTGGTTAAGAGTTTCTGTTTGTTGTTGAGCTGCTTCTCCTTCCGTTGTTTGTCGAGGCAGAATTAGTTCAGCATCTCACAAGTCGTCAGAGCAGGATATCTCCCATATAAAAAAAAATCCATTCCTGGCCCACTTATCTTCAACATAGAATCGTTAGTAAATGTTATCAAAGAACTTGCCAAAATGTACCGGAAACAAGCAAACTTTAATTGGAATATCATTTGTGCCTTCGGAAATGTACTTCGCAATACATCTAATTCCATTGTGAAGAGGGAAGACTGTGAAAGAAACTCTCTGTTGTCTCTCTTGAAGGTAATACGAAGGAATTAACCCGAAATTGGCGCGGAAAACTACTAAAACCTGGAGAGATTTATATCTGGTACCCACCGATTGATTCAGGCACATAGAAGCTGATTTATTTGGCTATATGATTCGAAAATCCCTGCCATTTCCGTAGGGGTTGAGTAGATTCTAATCCACCAATAAAACGAGGGCAAATATATTATCATTATTCTTTCTGTGGTGTGACATCATGAACTTCGATAGTTCGGTACTAACGTTTTGGTGGGACCTAGATCTTTAGAATAGGAAACCCCTTATTATACCTTGAAAAAAGAGGCAGAAAAATCCTCCGAAGCATGGTATATATTAGCCAAACTACACTGTGCTGCACTCTAGAAGACAACAATGTGAATACTCCCCATCGTAGGAAATCTCACAATTCACATAGAGCAAATATGACCTGAAGGTTTCGTGCCTTCGTCATGTCATTACTTTTCGGCAAACAAAAATATTTCAACCTTGAGGCATGTCTATGATCTGCTACACAAAATTTCGATTTGCAGTGATTCATTAACAATTATAAACTAAAAAAAGACCCAAGTTTCACAATTGTCCAGTCATTTCCTGTTCTGAAAGAAACTGACCTCAGACATTTGGTATCTTCTCAGTAATTTGACAGTATTCCATACTACATACATTAATTTAATCTACCGTTTAGCAGTGGTTTTTCCACTCCATTTAAGTCAGTACGGCAGCCCAATCCTTGGCAAGGCACACCAAGGAAACTGGCAACCGCAACGCAACTGCAAATTCCGAGAATTGCTATCAGCCTGAGTTGAACATGTGTTTTCTTTTTTAATTCGCTTAGTGGAGGGTGGAGTCCAACTGTGTCCACTCGGCACGGCGGCTAGTGATTGGCCTATTGTAGCCTGCACCGGGTGATTACGATGATGGAGAATTTGGTGGAATGAAGATTGGCAGGGGAAACCGAAGTACTCGGAGAAAACCCGCCCAGGCGCCACTGTGTCCACCACAAATCCAACTTGACCAGACCCGAGATCGAACCTGGGCCGCCGCGGTGGGAAGCCAGCGACTAACCCCTTGAGTTATGGTGCGGCCTTAACACGTGTTACTGAATGGAGCAGCGCAAATTGAGGAAGCGGCTACGTAGTTTTCTCAATTTGCGCTGCTCCATTCAGCAAAATGTGTTCAACTCAGGCTGATAACAATTCTCGGAAATTACGGTTGCGTTGCGGTTGCCAGTTTCCTCGGTGTGCGTCCGCCCCAACATAGTCCACACGCAACTTTATTGATCCATGGAACGTGTTATTCGATAAACTCTACCAACAAGCTTCATACTGTGGGGGTGGAAATTGTAATTGTGATCCACTTGGTTATGACAACTTAGAGTAACATACACAAAAATACTGTCACGTATTGCTAGCCAGTGCTGGATTCACTCATTGGTTCTCCCACATTGCTACAGAGTGCACAAATGCGGTAGACGGCCGAGTAAACATTGTTATTTTCGTGATATTGAAATCCGTTTATCCTCTATGCTGCTTCATTTTACGACGCGTTCAGTATCACGGATTATATAGCGGTGAAGACAACCGTCTTGTGTACAAAATGTTGCAAACATTCTTACTAAATCTAGAAGTTTTGCAGCGTCGCGAACGGAAATGGTTGTTCGATGTAGAATCCGTGATATGTAACGATTCGTGGATTGTGACTGTCAATTACGACATGTGACATGGGACCTCAAGTGACAGCTCTATAATGTTGTCGTTTCGGGAAGGTGTAGTAGACACAGGTAATATTTTGGATAATTTAACCATGAAGGATACTTTCTCTGTGTTATAAGAAGGAAGTTTATGTCATTATTTTTTTTTTGCGAAAAATCTGTGAAATTCTTGTTCACGTAGGTTATATAGACTGCGCATATGAATACACATCTTGCAGTATAATAATTAAACCATTTTGTTTCTTGCAGGAATGGAACCAAATAAGCATAGATGTCATCATCATAATGCCCCACATTAAGTCAGTATGAGAAATTGGGCACATGACTATTTAAGATTTTGATTATTTTTCTTTTGGCCCACCAATGGGCGGTTTGTGTAAGAAACGTGTATCCGATTCTCAGTAAGTTAAATTGACTCGTATGACATAGATTTTATTGAGTGGTCGTGTAGCTAGAATTTTGGGGCATGCTCAGAGCTCATGCATAAAAATGTGGCCCATAGTGGCAGTCCAAAACTGGATCATAGATACAAATTTGAATACATCTGAATTTCGACAAAGGAATAAAGCATGCTGTATATTCTAGGAGCCAGGATAGCTCAGTCATTCGTTATAGTCACACGCTGCAGGCTGAACAACCAGGCTTCAATATCCAGTGTAAACAGAAATTTTTCTCTTCACCACTGCATCAAGACTGGCCCTAGGGTTCACCCAGCTCCCAATCTGAGCTGGCGGCCATTTCCCCATCAGTGAAGTGGCAAAGTCTCAAAAAGCTGATGTCTGGTACTGAAGATCATGATCTATATATACCTCCAGTCCTCCATACGTCTTCAAGTCATGGTGCTCAATTAAACACAGGAATGTATATACTAGTTAAGGTTAACCACCGCCACAACAAATGATCTTATAATTAATCAGTATTTTACATGGATCCATGAACTATAACTTAATGACATAACTTCACACTATATTGGCCATTTTAACCTTGAAACTTGACATAAAGTACTTTTTAACACATCATTTAATAATTTTAATACCTTCAATATAAAGCTGTCCATATGTAATATATATTTTTAATAAATCCTAGGTATACTTTTATTATATTTGATTAAAATTTGTAACTCGAGGCACAATCCATATTATAGAGCATGACACGTTGCACCAATATGGATCCATATTAAGAGTTCCATGACCCTAGGCATATTCATACTTACTGCCTTATGACATTCCATGATGACCGAAACATGTATCTATAAAATACTGATTGATTATAAAATCATTTGTCATGGCGACATCTAACCTTAACTATATACATTTTGACACACAACAAGATGCACACTGTGAAAAACACAGGAATACTGTATTTGTAGTTGAGTTTTATTTATTTAATGAGACTATATACAAGTTGTGGGATGATTCATGAATGATGAATCAGAAAGGATGTAGGAAGAAGTGTGTGTGTCTTAATTTGAGGTAGTAAGGTGATGTTTTGTGGAGGGACTGAGAAAAACCATGAAAGTTCAGAGTACCCCCAGTCTTTGTTCTGATATTTGAACTTGCTACCTCCCGTGCCACTCTCTTAACTGCTGCTTGTATGAAAAAGCATTATGTCATTTTCTATAAAGTCATGATGCTTTTAGGTCTCTTATTCTTATTATTATTATTATTACTATTACTATTACTACTACTGCTACTACTTTAGAAAGATTCTGAAATGTTCCAGCATGCTCTACTAAAAGGAACAGTTGTGTGCTACTTCGTACTGGTGAACATTACACAGTCAAACTTTTAACCACTGTGTGATAATCTGAGGTTTTTGTGGCGTTGAAGCTTCATGTTGTGGTCTTCTGGGATGTGGTACTTTGCTGTGTGATAAATAAATCTTCACTGAAATCACAGACCTCAAACATGTAACCTCTGTGGGGAGAACTGAATAGGTCACCATTGTGGTAATAGTCTTGACCTGTACTTGGAAAGTGCATGGTTTGAATACCAGCTACTGGGGAAACTGGCAACTGAACTGTTTTTTTTTTTTTCCCCACGGTTTCTTTCAGTCCCTCTGGGAAAATGAGATAGTATCTCAGACCATAGTTGCTTCTTTCCAATTCAGCTTTATTCAGGTACCTTCCAGCCATTTGACACTATAGTGTTGCTACTTACAGTGCTGTAAGAGAATCCACAAAGAAAAATCTGTTGCGAGGGAACAGTAAAGATATGTGTGCACCTACAAGACTACACTTATTGTTATACACAAGCACACCTACCTACCACTCTGCGCTACAGCCCTGGGTGAGCCTTGGCCTCTACAACCAGTCTCCACAGCCAATGTGTGCTGCCATAGGAATGGACTCACGCATGATGACCTGAGGCTGGTTGTTAGGTTTTTGAACAAAGTTATTTTTATGGGACCTGGAGGACCAGGGTGTCTCTCTTAGTCTGGTCTCTACCCTTTGACCTTCCCGGCATGGGTGACCCTACTGGTAGTTGAACTACTGCTGGCATAGCTCTCCAACACAAGCACACAATACATATGTGTATATTTCCCTGTTATGGCTTTTCTAGTATAAGTTGTGTTTGTTTACACAATTAAATATGGTGTTTATCAATTGATTTTTTTCCCCCTCAAGGGAATCCCATGTTTCTCAGATCTACATAAGTACTGAGCCCCATCAGTTACCAATAATTTATCGAGAAGAATATAATGTTCACTTTGGTGGCATTGAGAAGCTACATCCATTCGATGCAGCAAAATGGGGACACATTTTTCAGGTTGGCTGCATTCTTCTGTTTAAGTATAATCGGGAATGTGTTGTTTGTAAAAGCATGTACGTTAAAAATGTCACCCTTTTCCTGCTTGTTAATAAATAAACTTGTGTGAACAAGCCATTTCTGCCCAGACTGATACCTCCCCATCTGCTCAGTGGGGTTAAGAATATAATTTCTTTTACTGTACCAAGGCACTGAAAGAAGTCCCATGGATTAACCCTCTCTGCATCTCTTCATAGCGTATTTAGGTATAGCCCTCTTCAGTTATAGGCACTGTGTTCACACAGATGTCACTAGTGACAGCCTTCAATGTCAGTATGCACAATGAGCTACTTGTCATAACTAACATAGGGTGTAAGGTAATACAGCAATAGGCAGTGAAGGAGATGTCATGAGAGCTAGCATTGCCACCATCTGTATTCATCGCAGAGTATACAAGACAATACAATTAGAACAAATGTATTTCTTTATTTGCATTATTTAACACCAGCTAATCAATACTGGAGATAACAGGAGTGTGAAGAGTATATGTCTTCCCTGTGAAATGTGTGTTCAGAATTCATTATCCAGAAAGAGTTGTCAGAAATTTATTATAAAAAATAAAATATGCATAGCACCATAAAGGTAGTACAGCAGCAGGGAAATTTGATGATAATTTTGAAGTTTTTTTTTTTTAATTTTTACTTGATTTTATGTCACTATTTTGATAGGATATAATGAAATTATTATCGTCTTCATTCAGTTTGTAAGATTTAATTTTCATGTCAAAATTTCCAAGTCCTTGTTAGTCAGTATGCTGGTACGTGCATAATAGACTGTACCTTATTTCAGGAAGTTAGATGCTGGCTTCTTCTCACTGTGGAATCGTGGTTTCAGTCCCGAGTGACATCATGAGATATTTGCAGTGGATGCAGTGGCTCTGGAGCAGGTTCTTCTCTGCCCCTAACAGTCGATGTTGAACTTCATGCTGTCCCTAAGCCCTTGAGTTCCTGTTGTTTTAGTTTCAAATATAATGGCCTTAGAATCATATGTAGGGGTGACTATTAGATGGGGCTCAGAGTGGATGTTTGGATTTATTGCACTTAAATGCACAGCGCTACTGCTAATCTGTGCACTTTACACAGTTCACTGCTGCAAATACTAGAGTCTTCAGTCTATTACAGTCTCCACTATTCATTTCCTGGCAACAGATTTTAACACAGGAACTATAATAGTCTCACCGAGTAACACAATCCCGATATTGCACCACTATAGCATCCGTAAATTCTTATCTTCACTGCCCGTCCTTCAGCCTTCAACTGCACTTTCTTGATTCCTCTATCATCTCTGCCAACTGCCAACTCTGGAACTCTCAATCCAATTCTCTGCTGCTGGGGCGCGAGGTAGCGTAGTTGGTTGAGACACTGTGCTACAAGCCGGAAGGTCCCAGGTTTGATTCCCGATGAGGTCATTGAATTTTGAGTCAACTATTAGACTTTTCACAGATTACTGGATAATGTATAGGAAAGTTATAAATAATAAATATATGGAAAATTTACAGATTTGAACAGGCTGGGTGAGTGGGTGGTTGAAAATGTGATTATAATTAATCCAGCTAACAAAATTATTTATTGTGGGACATAGTCATTCCAGAAGCGAGCAGTTGTAAATAATTGGAAATAATTTAATGCCACGATTTAAGTTGTGCTGATCACGTTACTTACATGGTGAAAAAAGCCTGGAATGCACTTCATTTTACAATGCATATTCTTAAACAGGGAAGTAGTAACACTAAAACTTTAGCCTGCACATCACTAGTGTATCCGATTCTTGAATGTGGGGTGGCATGCTGGGATCCCTACAGGAATAGACAGATAAATGTGTTAGTCTGGGTGCAAAACATAGCAGCTAAATTTGCGCATCATAGAAAGGATTCAAATTGGGAATCCTTGACGGAGCGCAGAAAGATAGCTCGCATATGTGTTCCCTTCAAAGCATACATGGGAGAATGGGCTTGGAAGGCTATACAGGTGATAGATTACAAACACCATGCTCTCTGAGCAGGGTCGATGATGATAGGAAAATTAGGAGCAGAAAGCAAGAGATGGATGTCAGAAAATATTCCTTTGCAAATAGGACGATCCAGCTCTGGAACCAACTACCTACAAATGCTTTAGGGACTCTCTCCTGTAAACCCAGAATTTTAGGAATGATAAATAAGGTGAAGTGAAGGTGTGGGGGAAATCGTCAAAAAAATGCAATGAAGTCAAGGGAAGTAAATAGTGGCGAGGATGTGAAGGGTACATAAGTGTAGTGAAGTGGAATAAAGGGAAGGTCATGGTGAAATGTGAATGCATCACTTAATGGCAGTATATATTTCATTACTGTTACTGTTTAGTGTATAGTATGCTTATATTTAGCGGCCTCCATAGTCTAGGGGAAACGTTCCCACCTCGTGACTCAAGGTACTCGGGTTCAAACCTGGCGGAGGTCGTGGAATTTTTAAGGGTGGAAAAATTCAGGGAACAAGTCCTCCGGGAGGGACTTTAAGCCGTGGGTCCCGTGTCATAGCTTTACGGCACGTAAAAAAACCTCTTGTCCCAAGGGGACCACTGAGCCAAATTCAGGACATTTCCCGCCCAACAGTAGTCTCTAACACCTCTGGTAGATGGGGGAAGCATCGAGATACCGCTGAGCCAGTAGAGGCCGAACTTGCTGGCTGAGTCGGGACTGATGGCACGCACCAGTACCGGTAGGGAATAGAGACTGGTAGAATATCATAGGGGGACGCATAATGGACCAACAGATGGTCTAAGTGCATGGGGAAACCCACCCTCTCCAATACAATACAATACAATACAATACAATACAATGCTTATATTTTATTAATATTAATTTACATAATTGTAATTGTATTTGCATTGTATTCATTGTGTGTAGTGTGTCCTTTATTGTATGTGTAGTTTTGTGTGCTGTATTTTGAGCATGGTGTGTCTTTTTGTGATGTGTGTTATTTGTGTGTTGTGTCTTATTGTACTACCACTGCCACCAGGGAAAACCCATTTGCAGTTAAAATAAATAACAGCAGCAACAACAACAGCAACAACAACAACAACAACAACAACAACAACTACAGCTATCTTGTTGCCGTCTCTTCTCAATCATCTTTGACTGCCAACTCTGGAGACTCCCTCAGTTCTATATCTCATATGCCTGATATCCTTGTTATATAGCCTCAGGGTGGTGCCAACAGAAACACAGTTTCCTAACGATTTCTCTGTTGTTATAGAGGTGTGTTTACCTTGTTGTTACATAGAAACAATAGTTCTATTATTGTGTGCGTGTTCATTTCCATGGGAACCTCTTTACTGAGTCATTTCCTAGCAATGAACATCTACTCTGGCTCCAATATTCCAGGCTTCATGCCTCATGTCACAATATTTAAATGCCCAAAAGGGTGAACCTGCCTGGATAAGGAGGCTTTTTCTCTGTGCCCACAAATCAGGTTTGTTATTAGTAGTTGATTATGTGAATGCTGTGCAGTATGTATTGTACTGTCCCAATTAAGTTACGCGTATTTGTTTTGCAGTATCTGAAGGACGCAGATATTGTAAATGAGAACACTGTAACGAAGCCCAATGAAGTTCAACAAGAGGATTTACTTCTTGCACATACTGCACGCTACTTGAAAAGCTTAAAGGTAAAGAAAGTGGAAATATGGTTATCTCCAGACTTATGCGATAGTTGTGCCCCCAAGAGTGGTCATGGAACTGAACATTTTTGTTTCTTCTTCGTTTTTTCCCCCACTGTATTTAATTTTAATGGAGAAATGTGTAATTCACTTAACTTTAATACCATTCATTTTAGCAGCTTTGGAATTTACTTCTTTTTATTTTAGCAAATAATTTCAATATATTTTTGTTTTAGTTAAATTGAATTTAAAAAAATTCTCATGAAATTGCATTAGCACTAGATCTGTGTAAGTTTAGATCATATAGGATTGGGGGATACCTGTAGTGTATCTGACAACATGTAGTTGTATGAGGTTAAATGCTGAATTTATTTCTAATATTAAACTTTCTTTTTTTTCCCAGTGGAGCTGGAATGTTGCCCTTATTGCAGAAATTCCACCCCTTATGTTTGTGCCAAATTTTTTAGTTCAAGCAAGTTACTTACGTCCTATGAGGTAAGAAATCATCATGTTATTCCTTCAGCCTTTCAACTTTTATGTGGCTCACCTGACAATGAAGCCTAAATATTTGTCTCTTGTGTTCTCCTTCCTCTTATGTTCTTTCTTTCATTTATCATTATTATTATTATTATTATTATTTTCATCTTGGTCGTCTTGTTTTTGTATGCATTTTCCTTTTAGTTTCATATTCAGAACCATTTTTTGGATATTGTCTTCATTTTTATTAAAATGTACTGTTTGTTAATGTGAAGTGTATGTGTATTATGGACTCTGGATGTACAGTATGTTCTTCCATCAACAACAGATACAGTGTAGTCACCTTGCAGCTCTCTGCAAAGTGTTTCACCACTTAGGTGCAAGAGTGTGACACTCATGATGTGTGGTGAACCATGGAAATTTAGAATACTAGTGGAATCAATTAGCCTAGAGCCTAACGCATTTGAGATCAAACTTAATGCAGACCATGCAGAAAATTCTCTCTGTTGCTGTTGTCAGGAGAATGTTCAAACCTAGCTCAAGTTTTATCATTACTGTATAAAAAGGAAAGAACGGAGTCAGAATGCTTGGTGCTCACCAAAGGGAAATTGGATGAAATCAGTGCTTGAATTGAACACCCTCAAAAATCCCTTTGATTCTTTTTATAGGAGATTAGGGTGTTGCATGCAAAGTTTGACATTTACTCAGTTTTCAAAAAATAATGACAAAGAATGGACACACAACAGTAGAGAGCAATTCCTGCATCTGCTGTAATGTGGGTAAGGATTTTTTTTCAGTTTTAGGCTGTAGTCCTGCTGATTCATCAAGTAGTCTGAATCTCTGTGCCTTGACTAGAAAGGAAGAATGTCAGACTTTTTGCTGAACTTACTGAATAATTTGCAGGAAGCTCTCTAAGATGACTTCAATGTAGTTAGCATTACTGTGAATGTTGTAGCACATATTGGAGACATTTACCTTACATTTCATAACAGATTCCAGACAGGGGGAAGCATTCTGGCTGGCAAGTTGGCTCTAGAGCGCGGGTGGGCTATCAACTTGGGCGGAGGATTCCATCATTGTAGCAGAGATAAAGGTGGAGGCTTCTGTCCGTATGCAGATATTACTCTCCTTGTACAGTTCCTGTTTCAGTACGAACATCAACGTGTGAAGTCCGCCATGATTGTTGACCTAGATGCTCATCAGGTGAGCTTATTTAGTTCAAGTTCTTCTTACTTTTTATGCCCACACAATCAGTAATTCCTGATGAGGAGGTATGCTTACTTCTCACATTAACATGATCACAGTTTTATGAAAAACTAATTTATTAGATCTGTTTTGAGGCAATCCTATTTTATACTGTTTAGCTATTTACTTTTAAATTTTCATCAGAACACAACACTGTTGTTAAACAATATGAATATTTGTATATGGACTTAACTGTCTTACTGTGTAACCAGCCGAGTGCCAGGTTCAAGATGAAGCCCCCAGCTTAAAGACAAGGGATGTGGTAATGTGCTTTCTGATCAGGAGGCAATGATGTATGGGTATGGAACAGAGATGGAATGATGGTTAGTAGGGGAAAACTGAAGAAACTATGCTCAAATTCTGCTCCCGTGCCACTTTTATCCACTGTGAATCTCACATGAAGTCACCTGGGATTACACTCAAGTCTGTGTGGTGAGAAGCCAGTATCTGAGTGCTTGATCAAGGACATTCTGCTAATATAAAATAAATATTAAATATAAATATAAAATGTTGTGTTTGATGGAAATTGAAAGTATGCAGAGGTACATTATTGGGATAAATAAAAGAGCATGAATAACTGAAGTTACTGTTCTTATAAAAGCCTTCACAGGGAAGGAGGTTAGAATACCTCCTCCATAGCCCTGCAAGTTGTAGAAGGTGACAAAAAAGGAACCCAGTGCCTGGAGGTATAACTGAGCCACACCTGTCACTGGGGAAGATAAATACAGAGACTTCGTCCTCCAGGTTGTGGATTGGACATAAGGCTGATGACCTTGCTCTGTAAAAAGATTATTGTTGTGAAATACAAAGAAGTGAAAACCAGATGCAATCTGGCAGAATCTTGTAAGGAAGGGTGTCGTTCAAAATGGGATTTTTTTTCAATAATGATTATGATAATTCTCATGTAAGATTATAGAGGTATCCTTATTGTATTCTGCTGCCTCTGATTGAATATTGTTAAGTGCCTCTTTATGGCTATTATTTCTGTTATTGCCTGTGTAGAAATTTTCTTCAGAACAGCGCATTATCATCCTGACAGTTGCGGCCATATTCCTAATGTGATGCACTGTTGCTGTTTCAGGCTGTGATACTCATGAATTCAAATGACTCACATTGGTCTTTGCAGTCTATTGCTTGGCTTTCCTGTTTAACAGTGAGCTGCAAGGTCTTAGCCACACATTTTGCCAGAATGTGTTTTTTCCTGACACATTTCTCATTCCCATTTCTAGGGAAATGGTTATGAACGGGATTTCACCAACCATGCCAATGTATATATCTTTGACATGTATAACTGTGAAATATATCCACGAGACAAGCGTGCTAAAGCTGCAATCAGGCGTTGTGTCGAGCTTACACACTTTACTGAAGATAACGAGTATCTTCATAAGGTTGAGGAGTAAGTATTTCTCATACTGAGTATGTGAGACTGAAGCCAGTGTGTGCTGTGTGCTGAAATCAGATTCTGAAGAATTTTTAATAAATGTTTCAACTTAAAAAACTGTGCTTGAGTACCCAAAATAAGACCACCAACACCATCACTACATCTTTCCTCTGCTCCTTTCCCTTCTCTCTTTAATATTCCATTTTTATATGGTCTCTCTCTTTGTCCCCAAGGTGCCTCCTACTCCGTTTCTTCTCAGTTCTTGCTCTCTTCTGTGTGATATCTTCTGTGTCATATTGTTCCCATATTGATCTCCATCTTCTCATTTGGTGTTGTTTTCCTTTACGTTTCGGAAAGTTCAAGAATAAGGCTACAGATTTTTTCGTTTATTGAACCATTCTTCACATGGGGTATGACAAGTAAACATGCGTCAGTTATGTATGAAATTTCCTTTGTTTTGAAGACTTATCTTATGGGATATAATGCCATGCAGTTCATTGAAAGTCAGTTGATATTTCAATGGAGCGTGGTGTCACCTCCCTCTTAGGTTTGAAGAATAAGCCAAACAATAAAAAAGCCTGAAGCAAGCTCTGGTTGCTACCTGCTTCATGCTGGTTTCTTGCTTGGCTTATTCTTCAGGCCTGAAGATTAAGGTGAGATGTCTGTCTGAAACGTCAGTTGACTTTCAACAGACTACATGGTGTCACACTTGGCATACTCTTTATGCTGAAGAGGGAGGTAACAGTTCCTCCAAAATGTTAACTGTTCATCAGACTACACAATGTCACCTCCCAGAAGACAGTAATCTTAATATCTGGTACTGTGACAACATTTCCATATGTACAGCCTTAGTAGGTAGGAAAGGATTTATTAGCGTAATGTTGTGTTGGCACCTGAATATAAGAAGTGTACAAATTCTTAGTAATTTCTGGACCAAATTTTTACTTTTTTCAAAATATTGTCTGTACATTCCTGTACAGCATTTAGTTTTCCACGTAACAAGTTAATTAGTTTAGTCAGTCAGGATAGTGACAGGCTACAGGCTGGATAGCCTGGATTCGAATCCCATCAGGGGCAAAATTTTTCTCTTCTCCACAGCATCCAGACCAGGTATGGAAGGCCCACCCTGCCTCCTATACAATGAGTACCAAGGATAAATTGGCTGCGGCATGAAGTTGACCACTGACCTCCTTCTAGTGCCGAGGTCAAGAACGGTGAAGCTATACCTCCACTCCTCCATATGTCTTCATGGCATAGTGCATAATTAATTAAGCAAAGGGACAACTTTACCTTTTTACCTTTACTCAGTTCTGTTTCTTTGTGGTTTTCTATCTTTTTCACATAGAATAATCTAGAGCAGATTAAAAAAACTGGACATAAGAAACTGTATATATACATTTTAGGAATTTGGAACAATCTTTACGAGAATTTCATCCTGATATATTGGTGTACAATGCTGGAACAGATGTGTTGGATGGAGACACACTGGGCCTCTTGGCAATTTCTGCACAGGTAAGCAAGCATTATAAAATTCTATTGAACACAATTAATACCTATATTATAATGAATTGTGTAAAAGTGATGAACTTTCAGACCTTCAGTCCACAGCATCATGTCACAATAAACACAAATTAATGATTGGAGTGAGAACATTACAAATAGGAGACAGAAGTTTTATGGCAACATAATGCAATTGGTGGCTTGTAATTTTGCTTGTATTTTTGTCACTGGCATAGCCTTTTGTTATTTATAGGGCATAATACGAAGGGATGAATTAGTTTTCATGAAGGCTCGCGAGAGAAGAGTTCCAATCGTGATGTTAACCAGCGGAGGTTATCTCAAGAAAACAGCTCGAATTATTGCAGATTCCATTCAGAATCTTTATTCAACAGGCCTCATTTCAGAATGAAATTGTAGGAGTATTTGCTTAAGTCATTTAAGGTTTTTTATCTATAATATGAGAAAGTAATATTGGACATTTGGGCTAATCCATTACTTTGGTTTAACTTTACAGTAGAAATATGTTTACAGCACATATTCCTTCTAGGAATCCATTACCTCTGTCCTAGATTAGCCCATTGTCATTAAAATTACTTAAAACTAGTGCTTCCTGATTAATATACCAATACACCAAACTGCCCCATATGTGCCAAGCTTTGTATACACAATTTTGTTATGTTATATTTATATGTATCCTTTATATATCATTACAGTTTATTAAATAAGTTTGTTAGATAAGATATCTTGTAAAGAAAGTGTCAAATATAAAACCACTTGTAACTTTTACTGATATTTCAGTGAATGTCAGGTATGCCCAACAGTATGTTCTACTTTTGAAATAATTTTTTTTTATCTAGTTGTGGTGTTAAACTGGTCATAATAAGCTTCAGTAGGTACATTTGTAAAGACAACACGTTCCATATATTCTTGTTTTGTTGTCTGTTCTTTGGCCAGTTGTTTATTCTGCTCCAAAATTTTCTTATCGAGCTCCCTGTAAGAAATTAACACTTTTCATTGTATTTGTATGTACAATAAAACATTACTTAACAATAGAATGTTATAGTTTCCCTAGTCAGTTTATGCTTTTTTTCCTTACCTCTGTTTCCTCATGATCTCTCTCTCCTGAAGCACACAGTGTTTGTCTATCCCAATAACCATCTCTTGCCATTCTGTTTCTAGTCGTGCCTGTGCTTGACGTTTGGCCTGGACATAAAACGGCATTATTATTTTGTGTTTGTAGTTATTGTGGTCCACTGGGGGAAGTTTAGATTATGGTCCTCTGGGATGTGATGCTGTGTAGTTTGATAGATGTTTGCCACCATTTCAGTGAAAACTGCCTCCATCTTAAGGGGTACCCTGAGTGCTAGACTACGTGGCATCACATGCCTCCAGACCATAATCTTAGCATTCACATCTGTGAATACCTCATATGTGCCATATTGAGATAATATGATGATGAATTGAGATGAGAAACTGATGTAAATGAATATAAAACCAGTGCACAGGGAGCAGTTTTAATATTAAATCTCTGACACAGTTATCAACTGCAGATCTAAAGTATTGGCTTCTGTACATTTTGATATGGGGCACACAGTAGTGTAGTTGGTTGAGGCACTATGCTACAAGCCAAAAGGCTGCGGGTTCGATTCCTGAGGTGGTCATTGGATTTTTCAGTTGACCTAATCCTTCCAGCTGCATTATGGCCCTGGGGTTGTCTCAGTCTCTAACCGAAATGAGTGCCAGGAATCTTCCTGGGGGGTAAAGGGTGGCCAGTACATGAGGCTGACAACCTTACTCCCATCTCTGAGCTGATTGTCTAGAAAATGTGGGAACCTTGACGTCTCACAATCCTATAGGTGTCCATGGCCTATTACAGGAATAGCTTTACCTCTTTGTACCGTTTATATTTTAATATAAATCACTGTTTTCTACAATACACAAGAAATAATAGCTGTTTGCTTCTTGACACTTTTGTACTTGAATATTTACTAACCTCATTTTCCACAATTTGTCGAAGTTGTTCCCTGCGAACATTCTCACGCTCCTCGGTTGACATACCTTTGTACAGGTATTGTATTTTGCGACCAGGTCCAAGATTGCTATTAGCTACGTCTGGATTTTCTGTGAGCATATCTCCTGTTACATGATTGTATATTTCAGCCTGTTTGTCTTCCAGTTCTTTTGCTTCATCAAGTCTGCGTTGCAAGACTTGCTCTTCTACCTGCAACAAAAGAGCAGCTATGTGTCCCTAACAAAAACTTGAAGTCCTCCCTCATCATAATATTGCTCACCTTTGACTGCTAAGCCCCATTGTAGAACTTCTTGCTAGAAACACAAAAGCTGCTTGAGGGTTAATTGTATGGTGCAGAAAACCCCACAATACTTTTCTCAAATCACCTTCAAACTACCACAGATATAAGCCATGTAAGAGCCTGCTCTCTCCTCTAAACATTGGTGACATCTGGTGCCATCCATTGAGAGAAGTGCTACATTGATTGATTAGTGATCAGCCAGTCTCTATGACTGGCTGTTTTAACAAAGGTATCCAAAGCTGCTCTAATTGACTTGTTTGTTGCATACGAGGGGTTAAGAATGCCTTAACAAATATCAAGTTTGCAGTGTACGGATTATTTTTTTTATGTAATATATATAGGGGTGGTTTGTATTCTATGTTATGTGACAGTTTGACATAACTTGCATTTAATTTTTAGCATTATTCTTTTATACTCAATTTTTTATCTATAATATGGATATTGTTTTTTAAACTTCTGTTAAAATTTAATGTCAGTGGAATGGTTGCAACAAAAGAGAACACTGGTATGGTATTTGTTATGCTACACAACTTATTCCTGTCTTAATTTCTTATACCATTTTTTTTACCATAACCACAGTGATGTTTTGTGTATTGTCCATGTTCAGATTGCATTTTGGAAATACGAGAATATTGTGGATGCTTAAGGAACACACCAGTGCCTTGTTAAATCTGAGGTTGGCTTCATTGATTCGACGCTGGCATTCCTGTTCCATCCTCTCTAATTCACAAGCAAGTTTGTCTCGTGCCAACACTGCCTCATCATATGCTTTTTGTGCAGCCCTCTTATCACTGTCAGCAGCCCTCCTTTCTGTTATCTGCTGTTCTAGCCATGATCTGCACTGTTCTTGCTGGGCTTTCCATCTTTTTTCACTTGCCAAATCCTCACCAGCAAATCTGTAAGCACAAAGTGCCATCATCATTGTGAAGAGGAGTACATACGTCTTTAACAAAAGTTTCTCTGATCACAGAACCCCACATGTTGCCTAGCAAGTAGTAGGCTCAAGAAGTAATGCTTCTGGCTTGTATTCAGGAGGTGGCCAGTTTAGATCCTGACCAGGATACAACTATCATGCACCAACGTTTTGAAGGAACTTCCTGCCTCTGGAGTAGAAGACTGTCTTTTGCAATCATTAATAAATAATCAAACATGTACCTGTGTGAATGTTTACTACAATTTATATTTTTAATTAGAAAATTTTCACAGCTTATAAATAGTTTTATCAACTTGGAATTTGTGTTAGCCTTTTGAAGCATGAGATTCATCTAAATAATATTTAAGAATTTAGTTCTTACCTCACAGTAAACATATTGTATGTCCATTGGAAGACTAACCAGTTAATCCTGTTTAGGGATATTTTTTCCTTCCTCCTCACTCCCACTTTGGAGCATATGGCTGATTTCTCAGTTTCATTTATCATTTTTTACAGACAGTAGGACTCCTTGGACGGGTGATCAGCTCGTCACAAGGCCTCTGCATTTAGGGATATAATCTCTGTTTATTGAAGAATCATCCAGGACACATACACTATGTGGCCAAGATGTAGGGGTTTTGATACACACAGTAACCGCTGTGTTTTAAGTGGCTAATCTATGATAATGTTGACATGTCAATATTTCTCATTGGTGAATTTCCTGTGTGTTCTAGTGGTCAGGCACTTGCATAGAACAGCTAGACCTGTATTCAGGCCCTGCCTAAGTTGTTGAAACTGTGTTTATTGACCCGAGTGAATCATGCTAGTGTTTTACATGATGGAGCATTGAAGCAGTATGACCTAGATGTGATATTGCAGGGACTTGCTTAGGAAGAGAATTAATGAACAAAAGAGCAAAAGTTAATATATGTTTTCATGCAATTCTGATGCACATCCAGTGCAGTAGGATTGTCATTGTTCTCTTATGTATGTAATAGGTGAAGTGTAGCTGTATGGAGTTAACAGAAGGAAGTCCGAAAGACCTCCTTGGTCTGTTAAGCTCCCCCCCTCCCAGGCTTACTTCCCTATGCTCTCCATTTATCTAGCCATTCTGTTCACGTGAATAGTGGCAAGAATACACATCCCTGATGACAGGTTCTTTAAGTTGATTGACATGGGCCAGAGGGCCTGGCAGGAATACAGCAGAAAGCAGAGAGGTTGAAGCCTCAAGCATGATGTTCCTCGCAAGCCATGTGTCTTCTTTCAGTGGCCTCACTTATAATATGTTACATACTTTTGAGCGGATGATGGTCCGCAGCGTGGATCGTCATCCAGTAAACGTGCTGGGAGGCTTTTCTTGAGTCCATCTGGATCATAGAGATCAAATTCACGCCTGTTCTCAGGTCTTTGGTAAACTTCCCGAAATGCGTTTATGTCTTGACTGACATGTCGCTTTTCCTACAAATAGCTCAGTATCATTAATACGTAAATATAACAAAGTAATTTTAACAAATTATATCTGTATGTTAAAATTTGAATATGTAAGTCATGTTAGGAGTTAAAAAAGGCAAGCTTGACCTTTGAGGTCAAAAAAAAGAAAAGCAAATACAGAACTTCAAGCATGGCAGCAATACAAAGAGGGTTTCAGAGTCACCAAAGATGAAAAATCTTTTATACGTATATATAGTCTTCATGCATGATTAAAAATGAATACCATATTGGTCCAAACATAAGCTGCATCCCCAGAATTATGTGGCCTTAAATTAAAAAGAAACGTGTTATGCAGTTACATCATTACATATCCACTCAGCAATTCAGGTAAGCAAGTTTCATGCTGCTCCATGTACAGTTACATATATTATTAAGTTTAAGTAAAGTTTAATTTTGGGGGCAGGGGTTGACAAGAGGATGTAATAATGTTAGAAAATTAGGTATGAAGCATTCCCATTAGGACTTCACTAGTTGTAACATTGATGTGAACTGAGTTCCCATCAATATATCATTTAATCAAAGCTAAAGCATCATCTCTTAGTCATAACAACGAAATATGTATCATTACTGGATCTAGATAATCCAGTAGTGTTTTTCTTCCACCTCAGTGTCTTAAATTTTTCAAAACTGCAAATTGATTTGAGATTTCAACATGATACTGCTCTTTACCCTCTACCTTGTTTATAATTTCTAGAGATTGAACCTCACCATTTGAACTCTCTGCAATTTTTGTTTACTCACTGCCACTCTTTCCTAAGTTTTGCCTCCACCAGGTAGTGGTCAGTATTACAATCTGCTGCCCTGAACAATTAGACATCAAGTATACGTGTACTTGAATGCCATCTCCTGTCTATCAAAATGTGGTCAATTTGTTTGTGTGTCTTTCCACCAGGAGATGTACAAATAAATTTATGAATGTTACAATGTTGGAATATCATACTTTTAACAATAAGATTTTTGGACATGGCAAAATTTACTACTCTAACTCCATTATCGTTACTAATTTCGTGCAAACTCTCATTCCCAATTGTTGGTTTGAAAATGTCTTCCTTACCTACTTTGGCACTGAAATTTCCTAACAAAATTTTTTATGTAATTTAGGTAATTTAGCGAATACATGTTCTAGTTCTCTGTAGAACCTGTCCTTCATACCATCAGTTTTACCTTCTGTTGGGGCATGAACATTCAGAACGATGATGTCACACCAGCGACCTCTTAGTATTATGTATGACATCCTATCACTAATGAACTCTACCCTCTTAGCTGCTGATATGATTCTCCTATGTGTGATAAAACCTGTACCTACTTCATGATTCTCATTCCCCTTTCCAGAGAAAAATGTATATTCACCTAAGGGTTTCATGCCACCTCTGTCCCATCTGACCTCCTGCACTCCTACATCTAACATTCCAAGTACCAAATCTCATATCCATTTTCTTTTGCTTAGGTCATTTATCCATGGAATCTGTCCAGTTCTGATGCTTCTTGTGATCTTCCATAACAAGGTCATTTTTTTATGGTGAGGAGTTGTTAGCCCCATGCCCAACCCCCTAGCTGTAGGACCACCACCTGTCGGCTGTCCGAAACTTCTTACTCAATATATTTGCAGCTACCCTCAATATTCGGAGGCTGTCTCCTCCATCCACAACCTGAGGACGTGCCATGCTTTGGTGACAAGGGACCCACCTAACATGGCTAATCTATACACTGTAAAAGTAAATTAGAAGCATTATTTTTAATGCTCTGTTTTAACAAATACATTACTTCTTCAATTTTATTTTCTAGGAAAAGTGCCAGCTTAGCGCCATGAATGCATTGTTCGTCAAATGCTTTATCTATCTTTCGTTGCTCTTCTTCCCGAGCCTTTTTCTCTTCAATTTGCTGTGTCAAAGCTGCCTGGTCTATCTGCAATAAGTGAAATTCATTATCAGTAAATCAGAATCTTACCATAATTTAAAGTTATTTGGCCTGTCTGCTAGCCTTTACCATTATTAGCTCAGGTACATCTTTGATTTCTATTTATCTGAGATAAGTCAGGGTGGGCCAGGTGCCTAATTTCTTGCCCCCCCTTCCCCATCCATGCCCATGGTGATTTTCATACCACTTAGGTTTCTTTGGTTGGTCATAAAATTCAGAAGTTCTATAGTTATGTTGCAGGAAATTTGTTGGTTATAAGTTTTATTAAAAATAATGTTGTTTTCATTATATGCAAAACATATGCTAAACAGAAAAAACAGATGTGTGTTGCCGTAACAAATTATGACACATGGGCAGAACAAGAATGGGGGAGCAATCCTGCCCTATCCCTCACCCAGATTTTTGTAAAACTGATAAACTGAGAAGGAGATATGCCAAATATTAGTACTAAGAACTAAAATTGTTTGTAAAGAAATTTATTATTCTAGCCTGAATAATTTAGAGTGATCAGTAAAAGCAGTCTTAAACAGTGTAAAGATACGTTCATAAGTATATTTTCTGGCAGGTCTCCCTTGGAAGACATCCTAGAAGCATCTGTGAGCAAACATTCATTCTCTAAATGAAGACTCGTACAAAAATCTCGTTGGGGTGGAGTGTGCAGTAACTGTACCTTACTTTATATTGGTCTTAGCATCCAACTGAGGAATCCAGATTACTTACACCAATGAGTCTCTGTCTAGCATTAAAAATTCTGTTTTTTCTCTCTTCTTCAATTCTCCGACGTCTTTCAATAGCTGCTGCTTGCTTGCGGTCCTCAGGTAGCATGAACATTTTCAGTAGTTAAGGATTTGAAGCGTTTACATATAAAACGTTTCAGTGCACTCCATACAGGTGTTTATAAAATATGGTGGTTGCTAAGGGGTTGCTAGGGTGAAGTTTGTGGAATGTGCTTTTACATTTGTGTATGTAGGAATCCAGTTGTAAATATAAAGTATTTAAAACATTGTCTCGTGTTACTGACTAGACACAGAATTTCAGATTCACAGTTATAATAATTTTTAATTCTGATCCTTTCATTCTCAAGCAATTGTTGTTATAAATTACTTGGAGATCACATTTCTTCTTACACTCTTTGTAGCTTTGTAGTTACGATAACCTGCGTTTATTTGGATTTTTTGTGGGTAGATGGCAGAACAATCCGTATTAGCAACTCACGATCCATTTTACCCTTGAAATCAGTCATAGAATCAACAATCTTATCCCTATTCAGCATTGTACTGATTTGTAGCCGTTGTTTGTTTATTAGTTCGGAAGTGATTATAATGTAACTTTAGTTAGAGGTCAGTAATCCCTTTTGCAGAATTAGAAGGTTATTCTCCATATGAGCTTTGGAAATCGACTTCCCTGCCGTCTGACGGTGAAAATAAGTAACTTGGAAAGCAAGGTATGACAAAAGTGTCGATTTTGCCATTTGCCGTACAGTTGTTTTCCTATTGTAATGGAGGTAGGGCGTTAAATCGAAATGTGTTAAGTGTGTGCAGTAGAAGAATGACTTCTAAGAAAACGTACGGCAACAGGAAGTTATATTCTCTACCAGATGACTATCACTTGAGAGGAACGAAAGTTCGTGCAACACATGGCGCCAAGAGGAATGAAGATGCAGCAAAACTGATAAAGTATATAGATGACAACGTTATTGGAAGGAACACAACATTTTCTGGTCCATATGGGAGACGTAAAGGTTAGAAGTGTTTGTTACTTCAGCAGTATTGTAACGTTCTGTATCGGCCACTTGCTGTTTCTTTTTTTTATTATTGTAAATTGCAATTATGTATTACGTAAGTTCTGTAAGTGAAGGAGATAGTAATATGAAGGTTAGGTTTGCCCATACAGCTCAGCGTGAGTTTGGATATCTGCTGGCTGTTGCGGATAACCATGCCTATCATTTGGATGGTTATTGTTAATGTGAACAGTACTGTACAGTACTCTGTTCACTTATACCTCTGTGAATCGGGGCGTCGTTTACAGGTATGAATTCGAACCTAGGGCACGATCCATCTTGGAAAGATAATAGTCGCCGATGTGTTATTTGTTGTCTTATTGTAGTACCACTGCCACCGGGTGAGAATTCATTTGCAGTTAAATGATAATAATAGTCAATAAATTCACTCACTTCTATGGAATTTAAAAGTTCGTTAGTGTGTTTACAAGAACCCAAGCCAAATGAATCCACTCTGTCATCGTAACCTACATCTTTAAGATGAATTTTTATATTCTTTGTTTTTATCTGTGCCAGGGTTTCCAAAATTTCTTCTTCCCTTCATGCGTCCCGCAAAACTCATCATCCTGATCATGTTCTTTTGAGGATTAGATACTATGAAGCTTCTCATTACACCATTTTCTCCAGCCTCTTGTCACTTCCCCTCTCTTAGATCCAAATATTATTTGGTACTCTTCTGAAATGCCATCAGGCTGTGTTCTTCATAATTTCTCACCCATACAGAATATGGGGTGAAAGTATAGTTTTTGTAATCATTAGGTTTTTGGATAGCAGGTGGCAATACAAATAGGTTCTGACTCAGATGGTAGTGGGCAGTACTCATATCTAATATGAGTATTCTCTTCATAGTCGACACTCATGTTTTCTATCTCTGTAATCTGTAGTATTATATTTCAGTATCCTGTTGCATGGAGGTATAACTTATAGTCTTGTTTTCCATCTATAAAAAAAACTCCGTGATTTCAGTCCGCAAGGGAACCATACCGACCGAGCCATACTAAAACTTATTCCTTCACTTTTTAACCAGTCACGTGCCGGGTCAGAGATGAAGTCCCCAACTTAAGTTGTGATAATGTGCTGCTTGGTCAGAGAAGGAAGTGCCCCAGTGTTACTTCATCACGAATCTTACATGAAATCACCTGATAATTGAGCACAATTGGGTGGGGGGGCGGATAATATTGAAATGGATCTTTAAAAAATAGGGATGGACACATGGGTGCCATCAGTGGAGACACACACTATGCATCTTCCTCTCCCCTTGATTTCTGGAAAAGGTCGAAATTAAGAAGTAAATTACCAAATATTAATATGCAAGATTAAGATTATTTCTAATAAATGCATTCTTGTATGCCGAATGCAGTGAACTGAGTCATAAATGGCTTAAACGTGTAAGCAGAACTGCCTGGCTGCCACTACCCCCACCCACTTGGAAAGGATAATTGCAGTGCCCATGGAGGGGCATTGTGAACTGGATTCATCTGGCTCAAGACAGGGACCATTGGCGGCCTGCTGTGGGCACGGTAAATGGGACTTACCGGGATTCACAGTTCTGATCCGTCACATAATTCTCTCTGCCTTGGTTTGAAGCCCGCACAGATAAAACCGCGCGCGTGTATGAAAGGGGGGGGGCGATGTTGCTTTTGCCTGGTGATTTTTCTTCGTAGTACTCGTATTTGGTGGTTCCTCTGATTAAGGGACCCATACGCTATAGTTTATACATAAATTTTGAATTACATCGGTAGTCATGAAGACTTGTCTCTTCTGCGATATAATGCCGTGTAGTCCGTTGAAAGTCAGTCGACGTTTCGGGGGAACATGTCGCCTTCAGAGTTTGCTTGGCTTATTCTTCGACCATGAAAATGGAGGCGACGTATTCCTCCTAAACGTCGGTTGGCTTACAACGACGTTATATCCCTGGCACAGAAGTCTTCTACGCTTATACTGGAGAAGTGCTCAGTTTGATTGTTAACCGGGACATCGGCCATCCTGACCGGGGTTTCTCATGGTTTTCCTCAGTCTGTTCAGGAAAGTGCCGGGATAATATCTAAATTAGGCCACGATCGCTTCCTTCCATATCCTTTAGAATTCATCATGCATCCTACTCTTCCATTCTGTATAATCAAGATATTCGCAACGTCGTAAAATAGCCGACAAAAATAAACTGATGGTCAGAGCTGCGTGGTTGCAGCATTCACAGGGGAATATAGGGCACCGAAGTGTCTGCTGCTTTTATTGCGTCATCTTTGCGTGCATCCTGCACACAAACACTTGCATTTCCTTCTACCCAACAACACGACACTGTCCTTGNAGGAGATTCAGTTGATCTGTTTTGGATACTCTTTGCGCATAAAATTCCGCGAGTGACCCTGGCCTCATTCTCGCTTTATGCTCGTAGTGTCTGCTAGTTACTGGCGCGGTCACAACAAAGCACTGAGCGGGTTGGCATAGCGGTAGCGCTGTACGCTCGTATTCTGGAGGCGCAGACGGTTTTGGCGGTAAGAAGATACATTCGAGATTCCCCCACCCTGCGGGCCACAAAAATGAAGAAATTAAAAAAATATTTATTCATACTCTTGGCACTGAGTGCGATGAGTGGTCAGCTTCACTCACCAGCCGCTTTACCCCCGGTGTCCGTTGGTGGACTTCAGAGCTGATATGGACGCACCACTCAGGAGAATCGCACACCGATTCTTTGGTCGTTCAGCCCCTAGCGTAGTTACTATACCGACTGAGCTATTCCGACTTTAAGTCGTGTCTAAACCGTAGCATCAGTGCAGCTCATTCTAACGGCTGGTCGTGAATTCGACGCCCTTGCTGTATATCCGACATAGGCTGTGGTGATATTTCTCTGTGCCGCGTGAACGGGAAGTGGCCGTATGAACCATTCTCCTGCATTGAGAACGCTACCACTTCAGAGCATAGGTGACCGAGCAGGCTGGAGTAGCGGTAACGCTTCAGACTCATATTTGGAAGGTAGTCGGTTCACATCTCGACGGGACACCAGTTTTTTCGTGACTTATCAGCTCATTCAGGTAAATGTCGGCATAGCACCTCGATTACGTCACGACCACATTCTTCCAAATCCTTTCAAGTTATTCCATTTATCCTGCTGTTTTACGCTATGTAGTCTAGCTACTGCCAACGTCATTAAATAATCCACAGACAATATAAACACAGTGGTAATTTTATGTACCGCCTGCTTTAACCTCCAAGACATCTTCATTCTACTCACATATTGTATTATTTGTATTTTCCGTATGGTTCTCACAATAAACAGCGACGGTTTCCCTAAACATCAGTAACGGGTTGGGGTCTGTAGCGGAAACGTAATGTGTGTTTCCTGTGAGGTACGCACTGAACATCTTAATCGTATATTGTTTAAAGACATTTCATGCTTCTTGTAAAGCTACCTTATCACTTTTTTACCCTCAGACGTACCTCTGCTAGAAGGTCTGGTCTGTAAACTGGGTTTCATCTAGCATTAAGTTTCTTTTTATGCTAGTGGGGTGGGACTAAGTCCCTTGTACTGCAGCCACTTCTGGCCTATTGTACCAGCCCCAGATGATAGGTGAGGGTGATTATGGAGCAATTGATGGAATGAAGATTGGCAGGGGAAACCAAAGTACTCGGCGGAAACCTGCCCAGCGCCACTTTGTCCACCACAAATCCCACATGACCAGACCCGGGATCGAACCCGGGCCGCCGCGGGGGGAAGCCAGCGACTAACTGCTTGTGCTATGGCGCGGCCTTAGCATTAAGTTAGAAAATATCAGAATTACGTAACATGGTACGGTGGCGTGTTGAAGTGGGACATGAGAAATTCGTCACAGCAATCTGTTGCAGTTGAGCAGAGGACTGGTATATGACCGCGAATGGCCTTCAGTTTAACTTTGTACCATGAACGAAAAGATGTAATCTCAAAAAAGAACGAAGAAAAGAAATACATTATCGTAACCGCCTGATAACACTGAGGGCACGCGGTAGTGTAGTTGGTTGAGGCACTATGCAACAAGCCGGAGAGCCCCGGGTATGATTGCCGGTAACGTCATTGGGATTTTCAATTGACTTAATCCTGCCAGCCGCACATGGCCCTGGGGGTAAAGGGCGGCCGGAACGTAAAGCTGACAACCTCACCTCTGTCTGTGAGCCGATTGTCTAGAAAAAGTGGGAGCCTCAACATCTCAACCATATGGGCCTCCACGGCGTGTTACAGGGATAGCTGTCTTCTGGGATGTGACGCCGTGCAGTCTGGTACATCGTTATTAGCGTTACCAAATAAGCGTTGCTTGCTAGTTTTTTCGTTGGCATACTCTTTGACCCTGAATATGGAGAAAATAGTCCCTCCGAAACGTCGGTGGACATATACCGAATTACACGGCGTGACACCCCGTAAGACTGTACTCTCCATAGTCACCGTAGTGAGAACCTCAACTCCATTATAATTATAAACATGTTTGACAAGCGGCAGTGGGACACAGGCTTGTGTTTTGTGATCTGATGCTAAGTTGGCTGAGATATTTTTTGAAAGATGTCATTAGAAATTGATTTGCTTGATGGTCCCTGTTACCATAGCAGCAACGACTGGAAGTAACAAACAGAGAAGGAACTTAATTTTAAGCAGTTGTAAACTTTGTTTCCAGTGAAGCCATCATGCAGGCCTGCGCCTGAGATGCGTGCTTGGTTGGACTGTGTTAGTCCCATTTGTTACTTTCTCTTTTACTCTCTCATACGCGCTGTGTGTGTGAGAAAGTACTGTGAACGCGAAAAAGAAAATTCGGCTTCAAGATTTTGACGGATTTGCACATTTTCAGCCCCACCCCCCCAGCATAGAAAAAAAAACTTGGCTGGTTTGTCCCGTCTGTGATGTGTGTGTATGCATTGTCACGCGTTCGAGTGACGATAAACGGGGTTTGGGCTGGTAATCGGATTTACTGGACAGTCTTAACGGCTCGTGACTACAG